TGCGACTTCAGCCAAGCAACTCGTTTCATTGCGACTTCAGCCAAGCAACTCGTTTCATTGCGACTTCAGCCAAGCAACTCGTTTCATTGCGACCTCAGCCAAGCAACTTGTTGAATTGCGACTTCAGCCAAGCAGCTCGTTTCATTGCGACTTCAGCCAAGCAACTCGTTTCATTGCGACCGCAGCCAAGCAACTCGTTTCATTGCGGATTCAGCCAAGCAACTAGTTTTTCTTTGTGACTTCAGCCAAGCAACTCGTTTCATTGCGACTTCAGCCAAGCAACTCGTTTCATTGCGACATCAGCCAAGCAACTTGTTTGCATTGCGACTTCAGCCAAGCAACTCGTTTCATTGCGAGTTCAGCCAAGCAACTCGTTTCATTGCGACTTCAGCCAAGTTTCAAGCAACTCGTTTCATTGCGTCTTCAGCCAAGCAACTCGTTTCATTGCGTCTTCAGCCAAGCAACTCGTTTCATTGCGTCTTCAGCCAAGCAACTCGTTTCATTGCGACTCCAGCCAAGCAACTCGTTTCATTGCGACTTAAGCCACGCAGCTCGTTTCATTGCGACCTCAGCCAAGCAACTCGTTTCATTGCGACTTCAGCCAAGTTTCAAGCAACTCGTTTCATTGCGACTTCAGCCAAGAACTCGTTTTCATTGCGACCTCAGTCCAAGCAACTCGTTTTCATTGCACTTCAGGCAAGCAACTCGTTTCATTGCAGTCTTCAGCCAAGCAACTAGTTTTCATTGCGACTTTCAGCACAAGCAACTGTTTCATTGCGAACTGCAGCCACGCAACTCGTTTCATTGCGACTTCAGCCAAGCAACTCGTTTCATTGCGACCTCAGCCAAGCAACTTGTTGAATTGCGACTTCAGCCAAGCAGCTCGTTTCATTGCGACTTCAGCCAAGCAACTCGTTTCATTGCGACTTCAGCCAAGCAACTCGTTGAATTGCGACTTCAGCCAAGCAACTAGTTTTTCTTTGTGACTTCAGCCAAGCAACTCGTTTCATTGCGGATTCAGCCAAGCAACTCGTTTCATTGCGACATCAGCCAAGCAACTCGTTTCATTGCGACTTCAGCCAAGCAACTCGTCTCATTGCGACCTCAGCCAAGCAACTCGTTTCATTGCAACTTCAGCCAAGCAACTCGTTTCATTGCGACCTCAGCCAAGCAACGTGTTGAATTGCGACTTCAGCCAAGCAGCTCGTTTCATTGCGACTTCAGCCAAGCAACTCGTTTCATTGCGACTTCAGCCAAGCAAGTCGTTTGATTGCGACTTCAGCCAGACTTCAGCCAAGCAACTCGTTTCATTGCGACTTCAGCCAAGCAAGTCGTTTGATTGCGACTTCAGCCAGGCAACTCGTTTTTTTGCGACTTCAGCCAAGCCTTGCATTGCGACTTCAGCCAAGCAACTCGTTTCATTGCGACTTCAGCCAAGCAGCTCGTTTCATTGCCACTTGAGCCAAGCAACTCGTTTCATTGCGACTTGAGCCAAGCAACTCGTTTCATTGCGACTTCGGCCAAGCAACTCGTTTCATTGCGACTTCAGCCAAGGAACTCGTTTCATTGCGACTTCAGCCAAGCAACTCGTTTCGTGGTGTCTTCAGCAAAGCAACTCGTTTCATTGCGTCTTCAGCCAAGCAACTCGTTTCATTGCGACTTCAGCCAAGCAACTCGTTTCACTGCGACTTCAGCCAAGCAACTCGTTTCATTGCGACTTCAGCCAAGCAACTCGTTTCATTGCGACTTCAGCCAAGCAACTCGTTTCATCGCGACTTCAGCCAAGCAACTCGTTTCATTGCGTCTTCAGCCAAGCAACTCGTTTCATTGCGAAATCAGCCAAGCAACTCGTTTCATTGCGACTTCAGCCAATCAGCTCGTTTTATTGCGACTTCGGCCAAGCAACTCGTTTCACTGCGTCTTCAGCCAAGCAACTCGTTTCACTGCGACTTCAGCCAAGCAACCCGTTTCATTGCGACTTCAGCCAAGCAACTCGTTTCATTGTGACCTCAGCCAAGCAACTCGTTTCATTGCGACTTCCGCCAAGCAACTCGTTTCATTGCGTCTTCAGCCAAGCAACTCGTTTCATTGCGACTTGAGGCAAGCAACTGGTTTCATTGCGACTTCAGCCAAGCAACTCGTTTCATTGCGACTTCAGCCAAGCAACTCGTTTCATTGCGACTTCAGCCAAGCAACTCGTTTCATCGCGACTCGTTGTGTTGCGTCTTCAGCCATTCAACTCGTTGAGTTGCGACTTCAGCCAAGCAAGTTGTTACATTAAGACTTCAGCCAAGCAACTGGTTTCATTGCGTCTTCAGCCAAGGAACTCGTTGAATTGCGACTTCAGCCAAGCAACTCGTTTCATTGCGACTTCAGCCAACCAAGTCGCTACATTAAGACATCAGCCAAGCAACTTGTTGAATTGCGACTTCAGCCAAGCAACTCGTTTCATTGCGACTTCAGCCAACCAACTCGTTTCATTGCGACTTCAGCCAAGGAACTCGTTTCATTGCGACTTCAGCCAAGCAACTCGTTGAATTGCGACTTCAGCCAAGCAAGTCGTTACATTAAGACTTCAGCCAAGCAACTCGTTGAATTGCGACTCGTTGAATCGCGAATCAGCCAAGCAACTCGTTGAATTGCGACTTTGGCCAAGTAACTCGTTGTGTTGCGACTTCAGCCAAGCAACTCGTTGAATTGCGACTCGTTGAATTGCGACTTCAGTCAAGCAACTCGCTGTGTTGCGACTTCAGCCAAGCAACTCGTTGAACCGCGAATCAGCCAAGCAACTGGTTTTATTGCCGCTTCAGCCAAGCAACTCGTTGTATTGCGTCTGCAGCCAAGCAAGTCGTTTCATTCAGACTTCAGCCAAGCAACTCGTTGAATTGCGACTTCAGCCAAGCAACTCGTTGAAGTGCGACTTCAGCCGAGTTACTGGTTTCATTGCGACTTCAGCCAAGCAACTCGTTGAATTGCGACTTCAGCCAAGCAACTCGCTGTGTTGCGACTTCAGCCAAGCAACTGGTTGAATTGCGAGTCAGCCAAGCAACTCGTTGAATTGCGAATCTGCCAAGGAACTCGTTTCACTGCGACTTGAGCCAAGGAACTCGTTGCGTTGCGACTTCAGCCAAGCAACTCGTTGAATTGCGACTTCAGACAAGCAACTCGTTTCATTGCGGATTCAGCCAAGCAACTCGTTTCATTGCGACATCAGCCAAGCAAGTTGTTGAATTGCGACTTCAGCCAAGCAACTTGTTGAATTGCGACTTCAGCCAAGCAACTCATGTGTCGCGACTTCTGCCAAGATATTCGTTGAATTGCGACCAAGCAACTCGTTGTGTTGTGATTTCAGGCAAGCAATTTGTTTCATTGCGACTTCAGCCAAAAATCTTGTTGAATTGCGACTTCAGCCAAGGAACTCGTTTCATTACGACTTCAGCCAAGCAACTCGTTTCATTGCGACCTCAGGCAAGCGACTCGTTGAATTGCGTCTTCAGCCAAGCAACTCGTTTCATTGCGACTTTAGCCAAGCAACTCGTTTCATTGCGACTTCAGCCAAGTTTCAAGCAACTCGTTTCATTGCGTCTTCAGCCAAGCAGCTCGTTGAATTGCGACTTCAGCCAAGCAACTCGTTTCGTTGCGACTTCAGCCAAGCAACTCGCTGAATTGCGACTTCAGCCAAGCAACTCGTTTCGTTGCGTCTTCAGCCAAGCAACTCGTTTCATTGCGACTTCAGCCAAGCAACTCGTTTCATTGCGACCTCAGCCAAGCAACTCGTTTGCTTGCGTGTTCAGCCAGGCGACTCGTTTCGTTGCGGATTTAGCCAAGCAACTCGTTGAATTGCGACTGCAGCCAATTAACTCGTTTCATCGCTACTTCAGCCAAACAACTCGTTTGATTGTGTCTTCAGCCAGGCGACTCGTTTCGTTGCAGATTCAGCCAAGAAACTCGTTTCATTGCCACTTCAGCCAAGCAACTCGTTTCACTGCGACTGCAGCCAAGCAACTTGATTCTTTGCGACTTCAGCCAAGCAACTTGATTCTTTGCGACTTCAGCCAAGCAACTCATTTCATTGCGACTTCAGCCAAGGAACTCGTTTCATTGCGACTTCAGCCAAAGGTACTTGTTTCATTGCGACTTCAGCCAAGGAACTCGTTTCATTGCGACTTCAGCCAAGCAACTCGTTTCATTGTGACTTCAGCCAAGTAACTCGTTTTTTTGCGACTTCAGCCAAGGAACTCGTTTAATCGCGACTTCAGCCAAGCAACTCGTTTCATTGCGACTTCAGGCAAGCAACTCGTTTTATTGCCACTTCAGCCAAGCAACTTGATTCTTTGCGACTTCAGCCAAGTAGCTCGTTTCATTGCGACTTCAGCCAAGCAACTCGATTCTTTGCGACTTCAGCCAAGCAACTCGTTTCATTGCGACTTCAGCCAAGCAACTCGTTTCATTGCGTCTTCAGCCAAGGAACTCGTTTCATTGCGACTTCAGCCAAGCAACTCGTTTCATTGCGACTTCAGCCAAGGAACTCGTTTCATTGCGACTTCAGCCAAGCAACTCGTTTCGTTGCGACTTCAGCCAAGCAACTTGATTCTTTGCGACTTCAGCCAAGCAACTTGATTCTTTGCGACTTCAGCCAAGGAACTCATTTCATTGCGACTTCAGCCAAGCAACTCGTTTCATTGCGACTTCAGCTAAGGAACTCATTTCATTGCGACTTTAGTCAAGCAACTCGTTTAGCTTCAACCTGAGCTCTTGAACTCGTTTCTTTGTGACTTTAGCTCTTCAACTTGTTGCACTGTGACTTCAGCTCTGCAACTCGTCCGACTTTGTTAGCAGGTTGTGAACTTTAGGAAGTGCGCGTGTGTTTTAGCGAGCTGGAATAGCAATCTGCCTATTGCCCAGCACAAACGTCTTAGGCGGCTGGCAAATTGCAGATTAGTCCCCGGAGCTGATTACAGTGAGTGACCAGGGGGTTTGACAATGGGCCCTGCACCGAGTCTGTGAGAGGGGCCTGACGAATGGACTGAAGCTTTCAGGGGAGAGATTCGGAGAGATGGCAAACTTTCCAGCACGCAGGACTGGTCTGTGGGGGTTCTTGGAGCGGATGGACAAATCTACTGCCCTCCCGGCATTTGAAACTAGGGCTACAGCATGCTACGGCCGTGCCTTCGTTTGCGCCAGGTGTGCCTGACACGGCGAATGAGGTATGCGACACGGGGCGACGGGGCGATGTTGCAATTTAATCACTGTGCAAGATGGTAGGTTCTCCGCTATGATCCCAAGACCAGGCGCACTCTGATGCGATCTCGAGAGCTTGGAACGGCTTTGGTGTGGAAGGAGAGTTCCGGAATTCTATTCCGCGTCTGGAGGCAGTCATCCAGATTTGGATCGGATGTAATCGACGCGCCGCGCTTCTGGAAGACACGTCTCGTTGACTTTATTTTGCAGTGAGGTTGGGACCCACAAGTTTCTTGCTAGCAATGTTCAGAACAGGCCGAAACTGCGCTGTTCCCGGCGACTCAGGTGGTCTGGAGGAATTCTTGCGCCAGATGGCAAGATCTACTGCGCTGCATCCTGAGTTTGCTGAGCTGTGAGAATCACTTTTGCATTGCTTCGTCGCTTTGAGGTTCCTTGGACCCATCCACAGGCAGTGGCATTCATTGTGACTCATTTGCGGAATTCTGGCAGCAGGTGCTTGTGATAGACGCTGTCCAGTCAAAGGCATCTCGTCTTGACTTCAAGCACTGGTCGCCCAGATTGACAGTCGCACCCAAGCACTGGGAGCATTTGGGATCACACCTCATGTGAAGAATCAGCTAGCGTGCTTCAAAGAAGCTGCTCCGGAAAGTCGGACAAGCTGAGGTGTCTTTTCTTGACACATCTGCGGGATCAGGATGTGAGGCTGCTTCTATGGCAGAACACAAGTGGAGACTCAGCTCAAGTTCCAAGTTCAGATTTACGCACCACCACACACATAGATAGATATTTCTCTCTTTGCCTCTATGCTTATTCATTTAGAATTTATGAAGCAACTTGGGATTTACACACGAACGCATGCACATTTCCCGCTAGATTTCGGCTTTGTCTCATGGACATTGGCCTCTCCGTAGGCCAGTGTAATCCTCGCGAAAGGTCTGAAAGGTCTGAAAGGTCTGAAAGGTCTGAAAGGTCTGAAAGGTCTGAAAGGTCCGCTTGCTTGAAGCTTTCGGACCTGAGGGACTGGGCCAGGCCTCCCATCCAAGGAGGTGTCAGGGGGGGCTCTGAAGAAGTCGCTGATCAGCCTGGACTGCCAAAGGGTCCAGCCGGGGCAAAGAGGAGGAGGCGAAAAGGAGGAAAAAGAGGAGAGAGAGGTGGTGAGAGGTTTGAGGAGGAGGAAAGACACAGGTCGGGATGAGAAACCTGGGCAGGAGAACACGGAGAGTGAGAAAGACGCGGACTTGGCCGTGAAGGATCGCTTGCAGATAGGCCTGAGAAAGCAGAGGAGCGCCCTGGGAAGGACGTAGCGGCGCAGATTGCAGAGGGGGAGGGACTGCGGAGAAGGTCTGGCGAGGCAAGGTTCTCAGCCAGGCATGCTTGAGCGAGAGGAAGTGGGATTACGGGGAAGAAGCTGGCGGAGGAGTCTCCTGAGTTAGGAAGCCGAGGTCAGACTCATGGTTTGGACGACCCCTTCTGTGCGGAAAATAGCCCGCTCCTTGTCTTTCAAGCTCCATTGCTCAAGTCTTACGTCTGGAGTTCCTGCCTGGAGATGGAACTGCCAGTCGCTCTTTGTAAGTGGGCAAGATTCAAGACTCAGATTCCACAACGATGCGTCGAAAATAGTATCTCCAACCCACTCCTCCCCCTAACGGCGCAGTGACAACAGTGCTCACAGCTGAAGCTCTTATCGGTTTGCTTTCTACACGGAAGTTTTCACACATTTATGTGTATACACAGACATACGCGTGAGTTCTGATTGCTCAAAGTATAGACCCCTCTGGTGCAGCGCCGTGCTTCTGTGGCCAACTGGAAAAGCCGTTTTCGACTTCTGGTTGCTGCTTTTAGCCTGTGTTTTGTGTTTAGATGTGGCTAGGCGCGACTGCGTCTTGGCGAGCGATGGCTGCGCCGCCCTCAGGACTCAATCGAAGCAGCAGGAGAAGCAGGACAGTGACTAGGAAACTCCCGAAAGAATTCGTTTCTATCTGGTGGCAAATTCGACTTGGAAACTGGAGCTTGAATCCGCCTGCTGTTTTCTAGCGCGGTCATTCTTCCCGGCGTTCGAATCGGAGGGAACTTGCAGTTGATTTGAGCAAGAGCGCCCCCCCCGCACCCCTATCATACCCGCACCCCCACACACACAAACGCACCACACAGACAGAGACAGACGCACGTGTAAATAAAGATGGAAGGAGAAAGAAACAGAAAGAAACTGAATGAAATCTTTGATGACTTTTGGATAAAAAAGATGGCAGTTGAAGAATGGATAGTTAAGCATTTCAAATTTACTAAAGATGTTATGAGAAGCAGGAACAACATAGCATATACAAATATAAGATGCGAGGCAGTATCAAATGAGATTAGAAAACGATTAGGTAACACATGCAAATATGAAATTGGAGAAATCTTAATATGCAGACTTTACAATTACACCAGCAGAGACCCCAAACAGTTGAGGGCTGACGGGCGAGCACAAACATGCCAACAGCTTGTGGCTTTCTGCGCTTCAACACGGATGAATCAAAATGATGCAGTCGTGAACCTGGCGCGCGTTGCGTTGCTGCACGTGTGTTGCTGGCGTGCTTCGCGCTTCAGCACCGCGCCAGAACTGAGGTTGGGCAAGCGCGCGCGATGGCGGGCGAGCGCGCGCGCGTGAACGCAAGTGTGGCCGCGCAAGCACGCAGTCACATGGGCAGTTCAAACACACATGTCCAATTCAGACACACATGTGTGTACACGTGGAACACACATACGTATACGACTGAAACAGTATACATTCACCTGCGGCACACGCATAAATGTGTTGAGCTGGAAAACAAACATGTGCTTCTTGGAAAGCACACACACACATGTGCAAACGTGGAACGCACATATGTGTTCACTTACGACACGCTAATGCGTTCACGTGGAACACACATGTGTGTTCACTTGGAACACAATGAAACGCGTGTCCAATTCAGACACACATGTGTGTACACGTGGAACACACATGCGTTCACCTGGAACACAAAGACGCGCAATTAAAGCACACATGTGTGTACGCGTGGGACACACATATGTATACCACTGGAACACAAACATGTGTCCACCTGGAACACCGCGTGTGCGATTAAAGCACACATGTGTGTACATGTGGAACACACATATGCGCACACGTGAGCAAACATAAATGCTCACCTAAATCGCACACACATGCGCGCACCTCGAAAACAATCATGCGTTTTCTGGAGCGCATACATGTGCACACCTGGAGAGCAAATATGTCGTCAGATGCCAAAAAAAGTTCATCTAGCACATACTAATGTGTTCACGTGAAACACACATCTGTTCACCTGGAACACAAACACGTGTCCAATTGGAACACACATGTGCGTACACGTGGAACACACATATGTGCACACGTGAACACGCATATGTGCACACGTGAACACTCACATATATGTGCACCCGGAACACACACCCGTGTGCTCATCTGATAACAACCATGTGTTCTCCTGGAACACAAACACGTGTCCAATTGGAACACGCATGTGTGTACACGTGAACACACATATGTGTACACGTGGGAGACGCAAATGCGCACACGTGAACACACACACATGTGCACACGTGGAACACACACATGTGTACTGCACATGTGAACACACACATTTATGCGCGCGCGGAAAACACAGACACACACGAGTGTTCATCTGATAACAAACACGTGGTCTCCTGGAACACAACCGTGTGTCTAATTGGAACACAACCGTGTGTACACGTGAACACACATATGTGTACACGTGAACACACACATATTTATATATATATATGCGCACCCGGAACACACACACACGTGCGTTCATCTGAAAACAAACATGTATTCACCTGAAACACAAACACGTGTCCAATTGGAACAAACATGTGTGGACACATGAACTCACAAATGTGTACATGTGGAACACACATATGTGTGCAAATGAACACACATACATGCGCACGCGGAGCAGACACACACACACACACACACGCGTTCATCTGATAACAAACATGTGTCCTCCTGGAACACAAACACGTGTCCAGTTGGAACGCACATGTGTGCACGCGCGAACACACAATGTGTGCCGTGAACACACATACAAAAAAGTGCACGCGGAGCAGACACACACGCACGTGTTCATCTGATAACAAACATGTGTTCTCCTGGAACACAACCGTGTGTCTAATTGGAACACAGACGTGTGTACACGTGAACACACATATGTGTACACGTGAACACACACATATATACGCGCACCCGGAACACACACACACGAGTGTTCATCTGAAAACAAACATGTGTTCACCTGGAACACAAACACGTGTCCATTGGAACACACATGTGTGTACACGTGAACACACATATGTGTACACGTGGGAGACGCAAATGCGCACACGTGAACACACACATGTGCACACGTGCAACACACACATGTGTACTGCACATGTGAACACACACATTTATGCGCGCGCGGAAAACACAGACACACACGAGTGTTCATCTGATAACAAACACGTGTTCTCCTGGAACACAACCGTGTGTCTAATTGGAACACAGACGTGTGTACACGTGAACACACATATGTGTACACGTGAACACAGCACACGTGGAACACACACATGTGTACTGCACATGTGAACACACACATTTATGCGCGCGCGGAAAACACAGACACACACGAGTGTTCATCTGATAACAAACACGTGTTCTCCTGGAACACAACCGTGTGTCTAATTGGAACACAGACGTGTGTACACGTGAACACACATATGTGTACACGTGAACACACACACATATATATGCGCACCCGGACACACACACACACGTGCGTTCATCTGAAAACAAACATGTATTCACCTGAAACACAAACACGTGTCCAATTGGAACACACATGTGTGGACACGTGAACACACAAATGTGTGCACGTGGAACACACATATGTGTGCAAATGAACACACACACATGCGCATGCGGAGCAGACACACACACACACACGTGTTCTTCTGATAACAAACATGTGTCCTCCTGGAACACAAACACGTGTCCAGTTGGAACGCACATGTGCGCACGCGTGAACACACAATGTGTGCACGTGAACACACATACAAAAAAAGTGCACGCGGAGCAGACACACACACGTGTTCATCTGATAACAAACATGTGTTCTCCTGGAACACATACACGTGTCTGATAAGAACACACATGTGTGTACACGTGAACACACATATGTGTACACGTGCAACACGCATATGTGCGCACGTGAACGCACATATGTGTACATGTGGAACACACATATGTGCACACGCGAACACACACACACACACACATATATATATATATATATGCGCGCCCGGAACACGCACACACACACATGCGTACACCTGGAACACATATGTGTGTATGTCTGGAAAGCACATTTCTGTTCACCTGCAACACACATATGTGTTCACCTGGAACCCATATATGCGCTCACTTGGAACAGGCATTTGTGTTCACGTGCGACACTGGTGCAGACCTGATCACACAAGCATGTTTAACCAGAACAAACTTCTGTGTTGACTTGTAACACACATATGTGTACACATGGAACACACGTGTGTGCACATGTGGAGAAACATGTGCAACACAAATGTGCGACACACATGCGTTCACCTGGGCAACAAAAATGTGTTCGCATGGACAAATCAAGTTCCCGAAGCCGACTGTGAGGCGCTATTCCATGGGGCTCTGCCTTGAACAACGCTTGTGTTTTATATGCATGTCCCAAGTAGGAAAATAGTGTTCGTGTACGATCAATCAAGCTTTTTTGCAACATGTTGCTAGCGTGCGAGCCTGCTGCTGCTGCTGCTGCTGCTACTACTGCTAGTACTATCAGTATCGGATGCGTCTCCAGCAGTTACAGGCTTCAGCTTAGCAAAAGCTTTCCGGCGCATTGCGCTTCTTTCTCGCTTAGCTGCACAGTGTCTTTCGTATCGATTGCTAAAGTGCTTTGATCGTATTGTGGCAACTCTTCGTATCGATTCAGTAAAGCATTTGCTTTCGCAGGGAAATACGCAACCCAATTCTTCCGTATGCTCGGTACAAGGCATCCCTGCCGTCTTGCCTCAGCCGTTGTTTCTCCCCTTTGTCCAGCAAATCGCACTCCATGATAATTGCATGCGAGGAGAGCGGAAGCAAATTTGGATTGAAGCGTAACTGGGAACCGGTCACAGCTGACCACTGCGCTAGCGCCTTGCTAGCGCGCGGCTAGCGCGGGTTCGCCGTATTTTTTGGAGTCACGGCGACCATCTGTGTGGATTTGACAAATTAAGGCCACGTAAGATGAAGGTAAACGTGCGGGCTGGCTTCAAGTACTAAGTAAGAACTGCAACATTACACCCTTGAAAGCCACGCAAAGCCCATCGCGGCAACCCACGCGCCAACTCTTGGAAACCAAGATCACCGAAGACCCTAGCGCAAACCAAGCGCCATCCTAGCGCCTCCAGTGGGGAGCGGGCAATCCATTGGTATTTGCAGGACTCCGCTTTGTGTGAATGAAAAACTGCACAAAGTGACTGCGACGGTGGCCTCTGTAGACTAAACCCCCTTACTAGGAATTTTGACCGGATCGCATATGTGTTTTATCAGAACAATCGCATGCTTTCACCTGGAACACAAACATGTGCTGACGTGGAACACACTCATGTGGTCACATGCAAAAAGTGCGTGTTCACTTGGAACGCGCCGATGTGGTCAGCTGGAACACACCAAGAACACACAATCATTTACTTGAAGCACTCGTACGTGCATCCGCAGCATGCTGCCTGTGGCTTGATCAAGCGCACGCGCGCGCTCAAACACACGTTTCTGAGCCTCAAACACACATGCGTGCCCGCGGAATACACCG